CGCCGCAGCAAACCTGCCGACTAAGCGAATTTCCATTTGTCTGAATTGATTTTCAGTTAAATATATTTTAATAACATTAGGTTTAACGAGTACCTAGGTTTGCTGCTACAAGGAAACTAATAAAGTGTGTTTTTGAGTAAAATATTGATAGCTTAGTACAAAATAAATAAATTTGCCAAGTTTGATCAAAACATATTCATAAACAAGCAAACTACAACATTTGACAATATTCTCCATAAGAATAACATGGGAATTTTAAATTTACAATTTTTTTAATTTTCTTCGTTACTAATAATCGAACAAAAATACTTTTATATACTAAATTATTTGTTTTTTTAAGCTCTTTAAAAAGGTCTAAAGAGAAATTGGGAAATTTTGTGTTTTGAGGGTCAAAAGTGAGAAAAACCAATTTTTACCCCATAAAACCCCCCGTAGAGCCCCGTTCCCATGGTCCGATCGTGCTGGTTCGCGAACTCATTCAAGTGTATCCCGCTTTACACCTTTAAACCAAATTTCATCAAAATCGGACAAAAATTACTCAAGTTATCGCGTTCACGGACGTATATATAATATATAAGTCTATATATATATATATATATACATATATAAAAATTTGAACGAATAGTGTTTTTGGCCTCTGGGGACATCAAAATGAAAAAGTAAATCGGTCCCGGGTCTAGGTCTTACCGTGCCACCTACGGTAATACAGTAGAACCTCGGTTAACCGAGCCTCCGGGTTAACCGAGGCCGTCCTCGGACGATTTTTTTTATTTAAAAAGCAAAAGAAACACGCACAAACTACGTACAGTAATGAGCGTTTGGGTGCTCCTTTTAGCGAATTTCCCATATAGGGAATAAGCTATTACCGTAGTACTCATGGTAAGACCTGGACCCGGAACCGATTTTTTTTTTTCGTTTTGAGGTCCCTAGAGGCCAAAAACACCATCCGTTCAAATTCATATATATATATATATTTATATATATATATATATTTATATATATATGTGTCCGTTAGCGCGATAACTCGAGCAAAAATGATCCGATTTTGATGAAATTTGGTACAAACGTGTAAACCTACGTTTGTTCGAACGAGTTCGCGAACCAGCATGATCGGACCATGGGAACAGGGGTTTATGGGGGCTTTTATGGGGTAAAAATGGGTTTACCCTATTTTTGACCCAAAAAACATAAAATTTTGAAATTTCTTTCCAAACTATTTTGTAGAGCTTAAAAAAACAAATAATTTAGTATATTGAAGCGTTATAATGCGCCTAATGGTTACGGAGAAAATTCCAAAAAATTGTTAATTTAAAATTCCCATGTTATTCTTATGGAGAATAAGTAAACCGTTGTAGTGTGCTTGTTTATTAACATATTTTGCCCAAATTTGGAAAATGTTTTTATTTCTTACCAACTATTAACATTTTAGGCCTACATAAAAAAAAATTTTACCCTCCCTGTTGCAGCAAACCTAAGTATGTGTTAAACTGATTCTATTTAAATAGGGAATAAATGTGATATTTTTAAGGAGACATTTTAGTCTAAATCCAATCAGGCAAATGGAAATTCGCTTAGTCTGCAGGTTTGCTGCGGCGGGGGTATTATCGCAATACGCACGCTAGCCTGCAATGCGTTAAAACTACTGTACAGTAAAATGTTGGCAACTGTTGTGTTTCCTCGGCCAAATATTTGCGTAGCTTAGCGCTTATCTTTGCCGAATGCATACGGCACTGTCACCCGACACCGCTCGCCAGAGCAGCTGCAGGTGTTGTATTGTAACCCGACACCGCTCGCCGCCGGACCAATGCGAACTGTTTCAATGCCGAGACGCGACTGAGACTGAGCCATTTGCTCTCCCCACCACCCCGATTCGACTCCGTAGCTTATTGCGCATCTAGTGGGCTGACGATTTAGTTTGGCTACGACTACGACGCTGGCGCAACAGGGCGGCTAGCCTAAGATCCTCTAATCTAAGTCAAAAAACAATAACTGATTTCTTTGGGAAAAAAGATTAGCTTACTTGTTTATTTTTGTACAATGTACAGTAAATTAATTTTCATTTCTTTGATTTAATTTTGTAAACAGGAATACTGTACTGTACTGTAACTAAACATCTGTACATTGTGTAGCCTATATCATACGTATTCAGTTGTGCAATAAATTGAGTGTTATATTAAAACAGTGTTTAGTATTGTGAGTGTTACCGTTTCCTCTCACGTTTTATTGCGTACTAATAACATTTCTTGTACTAATAAACTAAACAACAGTTCAGTTAATAACTTTTGTTCATGTTTTAGTATATCTTGAGCTATTTTTAGCCCCGGTAACGATTTTTAGGTTACGTTCCGTGTTATCCGAGGTTCGCCGTATCCGAGGTACCCTCGGTCCCAATTACCTCGGTTAACCGAGGTTCTACTGTAGCTACTTCCCTATAGGGAAATTCGCTAACAAGCAAACTACAACATTTGACAATATTCTCCATAAGAATAACATAGGAATTTTAAAATTACAATTTTTTAAATTTTCTTCGTTACTAATAATCGAACAAAAATACTTTTATTTACTAAATTATTTGTTTTTTTAAGCTCTTTAAAAAGGTCTAAAGAGAAATTGGGAAATTTTGTGTTTTGAGGGTCAAAAGTGAGAAAAACCAATTTTTACCCCATAAAACCCCCCGTAGAGCCCCGTTCCCATGGTCCGATCGTGCTGGTTCGCGAACTCATTCAAGTGTATCCCGCTTTACACCTTTAAACCAAATTTCATCAAAATCGGACAAAAATTACTCAAGTTATCGCGTTCACGGACGTATATATATATAAGTCTATATATATATATATATATATATATATATATACATATATAAAAATTTGAACGAATAGTGTTTTTGGCCTCTGGGGACATCAAAATGAAAAAGTAAATCGGTCCCGGGTCTAGGTCTTACCGTGCCACCTACGGTAATAGCTACTTCCCTATAGGGAAATTCGCTAAAAAAGAAAATGTTTGATGAAAAAAAAATAAAAATCGGTTCATAAATTTGCGAGATTTCCCCCCCCCCCCTTCCCCGGAACTTGATTTTTTTGTTTATAGCAAAGTACCCCTTGTGACATATCAAATGAAAGAGCATGAAAAAATAAAATTTTTGCTGAAATTTATTTTTCATTTGATATGTCACAAGGGCGGGTACCTTGCTATTAAAAAACAAGTTATGGGTAGGGGAAAAAGGGGGGGATTATCTCACAAATTCATGAGCCGATTTTAAATTTTTTTCCACTAAAAATTTTCTTTTTTCATGCTCTTTCATTTGATATGTCACAAGGGGTACTTTGCTATTAAAAAATTAATCAAGTTCCGGGGAAGGGGGGGGGGGGAATATCTCGCAAATTTATGAACCGATTTTTAATTTTTTTTCATCAAACATTTTCTTTTTTTATGCTCTTTCATTTGATATGTCACAAGGGGTACCTTGCTATTTAAAAAAAATAAGTTGGGGGCAGGGGGGGAATGTGAATGTAACGTTGAATTCAAAACAATTGGGCCCCCTACTTCAATAGATGATTCCCGCAAACTGCATATTTCTATCTATTGCGGTTTTTACATAAATAAAGATGCAAGTTTTAAAAAAAACACCCTGTATAGGCTAGTACATTAACTTATACAGGGTGATTGATATAAGTGTGCCAGCCGTTTTATTCGAAAACCATAAGAGATATCAAAAAAAGTTAAACGGTAAGTGCCTTGGATTTTTTATTAAAAAAATTATAGTCAAGTCAAAAAATTATTTTAGCCGCCATTTTTCCAATATGGCCGCCAACTTGGATTTTTCTTATGGAACACTCTGTATTTCATGATGTATTCTGGTAGAAAATGTAATTTTAAGACGATTTTATTCTTGTAATTTTTTTCATAAACCTAACCGTTTCAAAGATAATAATAGTTTAAGTTGTGAAATTTTGAATGGTTTTCGAATAAAACAGCTTGGCATGCTTGCTTAGGCCTTTATCGAAACTCTTTCTCATGTAGAAATTTAAAAACTTTAACCATTATTATCTTTGAAACGGTTAGGTTTATGAAAAAAATTACAAGAATAAAATCGTCTTAAAATTACATTTTCTACCAGACTACATCATAAATTACAGGGTGTTCCATAAGAAAAATCAAAGTTGGCGGCCATATTAGAAAAATGGCGGCTAAAATAATTTTTTTGACTTGACTAAAATTTTTTAAATAAAAAATCCAAGGCACTTACCATTTAACTTTTTTTGATATCTATTATAGTTTTAAGTTTTCGAATAAAACGGCTGGCACACTTATATCAATCACCCTGTATGTAATGATATTTACATACTTGTGAAGCTAATGAAGTAAGGCATCCAAAAAAGTTGTAAAGTTAATGGTAAAAATAGTTTTTATTTGTAACTTATATTTTAAACATTTTAGCAATTTTGTGAAGAAACCAAATTCATAGTACTTACCGGTAGTATACAACTTATGTACCAAAATTTTTACCCCAAACCAACATAATCATCTTGTAGTGTATTCAATTACCTTCATAAAAATGTAAAACACGTTGAGTAACAATTTTGTTTACGTGTTATGGGCATAATAATATAATAAACGGACAACCGCAAGAAAAATACAACCTTTTATAAACACTATTTCACACTATTCATTAATATTCACGCATAATAAAATTCATGAAGATACTGTTACATATACAGTTTATACACACACACATTTTTTCTCTAACCCTACAAAAATAAAAACGAATTTAGTAATAAATCGCGCATAACACACACCGGTAGTGCACAAACTTTAATTACCGATTTCTGTTGAATATGCTAACTTTTTAACCAAGCCAAACTGAAAGGACAACTTAATGTAAACTAGACAGTATTTTACATTCTAAATTATCTATTACGGTATGAAAAAATAGGGGAGAACAAGTCAATGATGATACTCAGCTATGCACGTTGCTTCATCATCGTATCACAATGTTTCAGCTCAAGTTGTACACCAGTGTGATAGAGGATGTGATCAGTGGAGTGCGAGATGCTTTCCTAGACGAGGGTGTGGACGAGCAGGTACTGCAGGAGCTCAAGCAGATCTGGGAAAGCAAACTGTTGTCTAGCAAGGCGCTAGAGCAGCCTGAACATCCCGAGCCTCAACCTCCTCTCATTAACTCACAGAAGGCCACTCCGAGCATACCAGGTGAGCCACTGAAACCGTCAACTGTTTAAGTGAATCCTGTTTGGGACCAACAAACTTTAAAAAATTGTCTATGGCCGAGTGTATATTAACGGTGTTTGATTGATTTTGTTTAATGTCTTTGTATGTAGTAGGCTACAAAAATCACAAATATGCAGGAGATGCGAACAGTGTCGCTGAGACAAAAAGAGATGTTGGGAAATGATAACTGTGTTGATTGCGGAAGATTATTACATTGAAGAGCATGCACAGAATTGGGCAAATTGCAGACGCGATGTTAGTAATTCCTTCCCTGTGTTTATATACATAACGATTTGTCTAAAGCTAGAATCAAAATTACTGAAAACTTGAAAAAGCAATTGTCACAGCATCTGTTATTACCGATAGACAGGATTGGTTTTTTAAGATGATCAATTAAGTGAACACCAAATTTTCCATTCATAAAAGACAAACAATGTATCCCTACGTAGGCAACAGACATTTTCTTCCCACAGATTGCTGTCACTTATGACCTAAAACTCAATTTATTTGAAAATGTATCTTAGTTTCTGTTTTCAAAAGTGTTTAAAAAAATTTTGTTTTCAAAGAAAACTATGTTTTTTTCTGAAAGGTTCACTAAATGTTTGAAATTATGAGTTATTGTTTTTCAAAACATCTCAGCTCCAAGCTGATGGATCTAAGTTAATTTGTTTTTTTAGCGAACTCCGGGGCGCAGTCTGCTAACAGCCAGCCTCAGATTGCTCTGACAGACTTCAGCAAACCAGTTCCAATCCAGATAACTCTCCCTGCACAGGTGAGCCAACAATAGACTGTTAAAATTACCAATTAAACCCAGAGCGATTGTTAAACCAAAACTGACAACTTTAAGGAGTTTAACTTTCCAAGATAAATTCAAAATGACGAACAATGGAAGTTTGGTAGCTTTGGTTTGGCTTTGGTGACCACATCGTTACTAGACTTTAACAAGCGTAAACCATGTCAAAATTACCACACGTGAAAAACTCTGTACTAGGGACAGGCGAAGCAGTGACGCTGTCATGAAAAGTGGCGAATGAACTTGACTGGGCTATGTGACATTAAGCTTTGCTTCAAAGCTTTACAGTGTGGTGCTATCATTGTATCTAGACATAATTCTTGTTTATCTCTAGATCTCATGCATTGATAGTCAAGGAAGTTCAAACCATCCAAAACTATTTTCCAACTACCCTCTCTCTTCTGACTCTGATTATATTTAGGAATTCTACAGACAGATAGAAGTATGATATTTTGTGAATGAATGCATGATGTTCAAAGTAAGGATTTCACAATGTTTAAATGCTCCCTCCCTTCATTTCACTAGTTATTTATAAGAGTATTTCTACAGTTATAAAGTAGGTTCAAGAGCAATATTGAGTGTTCCAATCATGGGACTGGGTGGTGCAGAGTAAAATCCTCGTTGTGAACGAACAATAAAAAAATGTTAAAATTTGGTTTCAGGTTGGCACTCCCAACAGTCAGTCCAGAACCCTAACTATCCAGGTCCCTGCAAGCGCTTTACATGGTAAGTTTACAATAGCAACAATGACGTAAGAATATAAGCTTACCACTACAAACTAGGTCTTCTAGGTAGTCACAGGTTTATTAAGTGCTGGTGTTTTGGCCTCGTTGTAGGCAGCCATCTTCAGACCAGTTCTTCAGAACAGATGTCAGGCGTTACTGTTCTGTTAATTACTACTGCTCTGAAGATAGTTGTATGCAACGAGGTCAAAACATCAGCACTTCTGTCTATGATGGGATCGTACCAAGAAGATTAAAAGCAACTCGCCAGTACAAAATATAAGTTACACAAGCAGGCCTACCTAAAAGGATAAGTGAATTTTTACTGGTTTATTTTGTTGTCAATACTTTAAAATGCATTAAGAGTTAATTGAGTATTGTATTATCACCAACTGTTACTTGCAGGTAACCAGCTACATTCTGTGCTGACTGGTCCAGTCATATCTGCTACAATGGCTCTCCCCACTCATGTAGCCGAGGCTGTTCTTCAGTCACACGTCACTGCCAATCTGCAGGGACAAGCCATGTCTGGTATGTATGCACTGTCTGTATCAAGCCAATCTAGCGCAATCTTGTCAACTTTCAAGTTTATTTGTATTTCCCCCGAAAATAACAGATAGGCCTGCACAATAAAGGTTCACCAAACATAGCCTAATTCTGAACTTTGTCCGAATACAGTTGATCGAGTCTTTTTTATCTGATCTAAACTGGCTGAGACAAGGTCAGAAAAGAGGAAAGGATAACGCAAAACATATTGAATCAATTTTTGTTAATCATAAAAAAATCAAGTTTCCAATTTAGTTTTCTATCATTCAAACACAGTATGGAAACTATCTAATTGTGTTTTCAGTATGTATAATAAAGTTGTGTGTTTGTTTGTCTAGGCTCGATGCAACAACAACAAATGCAGCAGCAGCAACAACCGCAGCCACATCCGCAGCAACACTCACAACAACATCCGCAACAACATCCGCAGCAACATTCGCAGCAACATCTGCAGCAACATTCGCAGCCCCAACAACATCACCAGGTGCTGCAGAATGTAGGAATGCCTCATGACAACAGGCAGCCCTTCACTCACCATCAGGTACTAACTGGATGTTTTATGCCCTTTGACAATATTGCAGTGTATCCTGTCATTCATGAGAAAGCTGTTGAAATTTTTGACGGGAAATGGTTTGCATTTTTTATATAATATCTGTGATGGGGAAAAATTGTTTTGTTCCGATTCCCATTATAAATGTTGGTTTTGATTCTCGATTCAAATTTGAGATACACGATGAATAAAAAACAATCTGGTAAAAAAATGAGTTTTAGAAGTTGTATTTCCTTTTTTTTTCTGGCATGAATGAAATAGTTTGTCCATTATCACAAAATCAAAAATTGACAATACTGTATTATCAATTAGTGATGGTTAAATCCAGGAATTTCAAATCTCGAATCCGAATTCTAAAAAAATCTAATCTCGAATCTTCAAATCTCGAGTCCCAAAAATAATTACAAATGGGCTTATGGTGATTAAAAAAGCAAGAATGGAATTGGAATCATTTAACACTTATAACCACCACGACGACAATAACCTTTATGGTTTGTCAATGTAACAGTGTACTGTATATTTTGACGTCAATAACCTCTATGGTTAGTCAATGTCACAGTGTACTGTATATTACGACGTCAATAACCTCTATGGTTAGTCAATGTCACAGTGTACTGTATATTACGACGTCAATAACCTCTATGGTTAGTCAATGTCACAGTGTACTGTATATTACGACGTCAATAACCTATATGGTGAGTATAATGTCACAGTGTAGGCCTACTGTATATTACGACGTCAATAACCTATATGAGCAGTCTATGTCACAGTGTACTGTATATTACGACGTCAATAACCTCTATGGTTAGTCAATGTAACAGTGTACTGTATATTTTGACGTCAATAACCTCTATGGTTAGTCAATGTCACAGTGTACTGTATATTACGACGTCAATAACCTATATGGTGAGTATAATGTCACAGTGTAGGCCTACTGTATATTACGACGTCAATAACCTATATGAGCAGTCTATGTCACAGTGTACTGTATATTACGACGTCAATAACCTCTATGAGGCAATGTCACAGTACTTAAAAGTACTGTATATTTATTACGATGTCAATAATCTCTATATTGGTTAGGCAATGTATATGCCTTATAATTCTATTCTAAAAAAAAATTAATTATTTTCTCTAATCTTGTTAATTGAATCTCGAATCCGAATCTTAGGATTCAGTGGATTAGAGATTCGGATTCGACACATCCCAATAATCAATACTATGGAAGACATCTTTTTTTTTACTATCCAAATAAACAATTTATGACTCAATAGAGAGATGATGTTTTAGACACGGCTAAGAGAGATCCTGAAATTATCATCAAATCCAAAGTCATGAAGACTCAAGAATTAACGAATAAAGTTTGAGAAATCAGAATTAGTCCATCTCCACATAAAACCTAGCTCCCAACACTGAAGCCTCAATTAAATAAGACAGCTTTCACTGAAGGTAGCCATATGCAATTTCTTTGCTCTGTAAAACAGAAAGAATAGTCGTTTATATAGGCTTACTTTGTTCTCATTAAATTTTTATGGCAAAAAATTGAACTTCCTGAAACTATAACAGAATCTCTTGATGAGATTTTGGTAGTAAAAATTATTCATAATCTTAATGTGTGATTTTGTTGGTAGCTCCAGAACTCAGTGCCTCAGTTGGACGGACAACACGACTCTTCTGATGATGAGGAGGAAGAAGAAGAGGAAGATGATGACAATGATGATGATGACGTAGAAGACAAGGACGAGGAGGAGAATGATGAAAATGAGGCCGGAGCAGAGGAGGTAGGTTTGGTTGTGTATAGTTGGTCGTATAGTACAGTTTTATCTTGTATGATAACCTGTGTATTCAGTCAGAAATGTTATTATTACGGATGGTTGGGATCTTATTTTTAGTTGAGGACAGACTGGGATTTTTATTTCCTCCCTGATTTTCTGGACAGGGGTTTTCTGCCCTAGGCTAAAAGGGTCTGCTTTATGAAATCAAACCTTCAGAGTTTCTATTGACAAAAAAAATCAGATCACAATGTTTATACCATTGATCTATAAAATAAACAATGGGTAAAAATATGTATCTGTACGTAACAAAATCTTATTTTTAAAAACTTTAAAACTTGGCTGAAAAATTATAAGGGTGCCTATAAAATCTGGATTATATACAACAATACCATAGACAAACTTATTACTTTTAAAAATAAGGTAGCCTACTGAGTAAATCACAGAGACACATAGGAACATGATTAGGAAATATCATATCTTTTCACTGATCTTCATGTGTAGTGGACAGAAGATAAAATTAAGAGACAGATGGTAATGTTATTAGAGGGAACAATTATTCCAGAATTATTTACCTAATGTAGAGTAGGATTTCAATTGGAATGGCAGGCCCCAAATATGCAAGAAGTGTTAGGCTTATACGGACAAGCTGGGAGCAATGGAGAAGCACTATAGGTTACCCTTGGCCACGGAAATAAATTAGTAAGTATAGAAAAATTTACGATTTTTCCCTGGCACTGCACTTGTCAGAAAACTATCATAAACTTCTTACAATCACGATATTTTAATTTAGTGTTATTATGTAATCATTGAATGATCTGTTTAATTATATCATATTTTGTTTAGGAACCGCTGAATTCAGGCGATGATGTCAGTGAAGAAGACCCAACTGACATGTTTGATACAGACAACGTAGTTGTGTGTCAGTATGACAAGGTATGTGCCACATAGTAGTACATTTCTAGGGTAAAAACGGTTCTACAGCCGTGTCAAGTTTTTTTGTACCTACTATGCTTTTCTTAAAAAATGCCATCTATTTTACGTTTTAGTAAATATTGTGCTTTACTCCTTTGGCTGCCAAGATCCTATTAATAGGCTCATGACTATTTTGCATATAACTTGGTTATTTTTCATTGTATTATTATGAAACTTAAAGCCTACCAATGTGTTTGGGATGAACTCCTTCATATTCTGTTTGTTTGTTCTTGTGTATAGTAGTCTTGCTCTGAAAACTCTTGATATTTTACCGAACATGTGGTGTGACTACCTGTCTGTTTACTATTTAGAATATTTTATTTTATAGGCTAGTGTTAAATATTTTACCTAAGACCATATTTTAAAGTAGCCGTTTCAGTTTAGTTCTCAGAATTGAAAAGATTCACATGCCTAACAGCATTGTTTACTTACTTAACAGCATTGTCGTTTTACTTAACAACACGGGTATTAGACCATTGAGGGTCAAGGATTCAGAGAGAAGAAGTAAAATTGTAATGCTTCAAACGTCAACCAATCAGCTGTTTAGATCAATTTAATTGTTGATGAGTAGCTCATTAGTGTTTAGTACAATTATTCAGGTTTCACTGTCAGTGGCAACGAAAACATAACCTCTCATAGAAGTTATGAGTAGTGATTGTTAGTAATTATAAAAAAAAACTGACTTAGGTAAAGTATTGATACACAACTCGTGTAAATAGTCTAAGCGACACTTAAAGTTTTTAAGGCAAAGGCTCGTACCTTAAATTTTCTACTCGTGTCGTTAACACTATCTTTACACGATCGTTGCGTAAACTAGTAATGAGCTCCAATAATTCTACAATATCGAAGAATCCCCACCTTTTGATATATGTTTCAGTAAGTTAAATATTTAGGCCTAAAAAAGTTACAGCGTGCCTAAGAATCTTCTTTCAGCCTCGTGGTTTGTAAAATCCTGAATTTATCCGTTGAATGATTCGTAAATACCAAAATACAATAGATGATTATGATTACATAATGTTGTCTGTCCCTAGATTACTCGTAGCCGCAACAAATGGAAGTTCTACCTCAAAGACGGCATCATGAACCTCGGTGGCAAAGACTTTGTGTTCCAGAAGGCCAACGGAGACGCAGAGTGGTGAACACGGTTCCTATTGTTTAGATTAGATGAAATTGTAATATATTTGTACATTGGCAGCTGAATAGCGAATCTCAGGTTGAAAGTGGACGATCACAGTTTTGCTTAGTTAGAAGGCATTTTCACCAGAACCTTTTAGCCGGTTGTGGGATTTAGATTATGTTATTTAAATTGAATAGATGTAGTTTCAAAAGAAAATATTTTTCATAAAAATAGTTTAGTTGTCAATACTCTAAAGACAACAATAATTAAGATTTATATGTTAGTTTATTAAATCATTCAAATATGAACTCGATATTTAACGTCCCCTGTGCTTCTTGGTTGTTATTTATCGCCACAACTTTCACTATGTTTATATATTTAGAGTTACCATTAATACCTTCATTCTTAATGTTTGTTGAGTTGCTTATTATCTTACAGCTAGTTTTATGTAGCCTACACGGTAAAAGTTAATAAAAATTAATGTTAAACAAATTTTTTAAGTGGTTAAGAACAAAGTGTTTTACAATTATCTTTTAACCCAAAGAAATGCCTATAAAATGAGCTGGACTCTTAAATCTTTTAATATAGGTAGATGGTTTCCCATATTTTTTTGTTTCTCAAGTCTATTAAATTAATATGAATATCACAAATATTTGTTCAATGGTTGTATTTTTACTGAGGAACAAAATTGTTCAATTATTTAATTTTGTTCTAGTCAATTTTTATGGCACTTGAAGTGTTGTTTACAGTAATCTCGTTAGTCACAACAAAGACATGTAATTTATCTTATGTGAATTATAAACTTTTTAAATGTATTGTATTCTTTAAACTAATCAATGTGTGCTAATAAGTATAATATGAGATAGTTAATTTTAATTCATATTTATTGGAGTGAAGCAAGAACATCGAGTATGACCTACCACCAGGCAAACAGTTTTATGATTTTAGGGAGATACAAACTTTGCCTGTGATGGTAGACACACAGTTTATCACTTAACTGCCAATGTTGTTTGGTTGTCGACTGATACAAGACTGAGTTTTTCGAGGTTTCCCTCGTAAAACATATCAAGACAACACAGAAATAGTCACAACTAGGCTAATGGAGGTAGCTAGCAACATTGGTATTGCAAATATTGTTAAAATTACTGTGCATAATAAACGTATTTGTTATATGAATTTGTAACCATTTTCTTTTATTTTTAGAAACCCTTTATTCGAAGTATGAATTCATCACAAGAACGGAATGGGTGTAATGTCTTTTACTCTGAACAGCTGATTATTAAGCCAGGATTTACTTAAGCTCAATAGTCTAAAACATCTTTATCCAGTTTCAAACCATCAAAAAGCTCACAAACTATAATCAGAATCAATATATTTAATGATCTTGTGGCATGTGCACGCACATACAATCAACTTTTTTAAATGTGCCAATAGAATAAATATTACAATCATTCAGATCAAAATGAAAATGTTTACTGAATGGAAAGTCCTGATAGCACTTATCATATGAAATGAGCAAATTAAAACTTCATTATTCTAGTTGAATGTGAGAACAACAATGACATGGAAGCTACCCAGTAAGTACACAAACTTAAGATCAAATATCAACATTATTTCATCAAGTAAGTATTACAGTAAACCCCCTTTTAACCGACCTCGTATTAACCGATTATCAGATTATCCGCCTTCGATCTTAAAATAATAGTGTGTTTTAACCGACCTTGCTTTGAGAGCAGTTCGGTTTAACCGCCGCTTTCTATGAATCTCGACATTTCCGCTCTCACGCTGGGCGATGAAAACTGAACCATACGCTAATCTCCACAGGATATGACTAAGAATAGGTTATTTTATATTGATCACAAAAAATATAGCTTATTGTCTGTTTGTCATCATCGTTGTAGTTGTAGCGCTGCGAGTACATCAGATCTGATTTGTTATCTGTGCGGCAAATTTATAACATTGTAAAGTGCGGTACAATTTTGAGAACTGATTATCTTATCACTGGAGTAAACAAACAACACAACTTGTAGGGAGGGCAGGGAAGGGGGGTTAACAACTCCAAGGTCAAGATAGGTTTTGAGCCTGAGCCTCCAGTGAGAGGCTATAAATAAACATCCTGTCTTGTAACAAAATGGTTGCTTGTATCTTTAATTTCGACAAAAGGTTCTGTACTGTATTACGATGGATTTGGAAAGCATCAATTAATAAATTACAGTATTGTACTAATTTTATTAAAATAGGAATTTTTATTGACTCTTGCCTAGTACTACAGTATAATATATTCCACTGAAAGTAGGCCTATTTGACTTAACCGTGTTTTGTGTTTATTTGTGACTTTTCTATCAATACGAAAAAGGTGACAAGAGTAGTTTATTTTATCAAGTATGACTTCAAAATAATGATTATATAATTCCAAATGAATAGCACTTCATTATGTTATGATTGTACCGATTTTAGGGATTGCCCGGTTTAACCGACCTTTTGAGTTATCCAACCTAGGTCCGGTCCCATTAGGCAGGGGTGCCCACAAGGGGGGGCCGTGACGCAGACTGCGTCATTGAAATTCTTGGGGGGGGCTCAAAAAATTCAAATGGGGGGGGGGCTAAAGTTAATTGCAACAGTGTTCAACGTGACGACAATCCAAAATACATTACGAAATCGCCAGATAGAAAGTGGATAATTAATGACAATAGTTATATTTTTGAATTAAATTAGTTCAAATAGGATTTTAGGATAGTTTAGGATTCGTGTATAAAGTTATGATTAGCAACACGTGAGATCTAAGAGAGGGAGCGCACGGGATGGCTCAACTGCTGTGATAGATAACAGATAACGCGTGGTACAGACACATCCAGCTACACCGCGACTTAAGCACAGCAGAACGCTTTGTTGACATAAAGCTCGTTAAAATACAATCAAGTAGCAAGTAGCATAGGCTACAATACTTTACACTATTGTGTATACTCGATTACTTGAGTTAATAGGGAGAGGGGGGGGAATGAAAAATACGGTTAATCCAATCTATATATATAATCCAATGTATGTTTGTCCTTTATGGACTCCGAAACCGCTCGACAGATTGTAATGAAACTTTCAGGCATTATTAAGCATTATTCAAGGATGGTTTGTGTGAAGTTTGGTGCAGATCCGTCAAAAGGACTCTGCCCCAGTGGCTCTGGAGTTTTCCATGTTAACCTTATGAGTACTCATATTTAAATGGAATTAAAGAATCTTAACAGCTGGTTCAACTAAGCAATTTGATTCTGTGATGTTCAATAGCATTAAAAAGTTAATAGGTTTACCAACAGGGTGCAGCACTATTTTTTTTATTTGTGACGACAGCTAATTTGCAACCAAAAGGTGAGTGAGCGTAGCGAACGAACTTCAACCAGGACATGATTGAGCCATGCGAACGAGCTCATCTTGAAAATGAACGAGCATTGACATAAAACCACATTAGGACAGGACGACGTCTGTCGGGCCAGCTAGTATAGTATAAAAACAGATGAAAAACTCTTTAACACGCTGTAAACAGCCATTAAGTCACGATTTACATTTTTATAAACGAAATTCAATATTGCACAATCATTATTATTGTAAATTTCAAATCATTTATCTTGGTTCAGTTGTACAAACGGCAACGATTAAAATTCTAGCTAACTCAAACTCAACTAATCACGAGCCAAACATTACATTGCTATAAATAACGTAAATATTAAAGGAACCTTTAGAAAGTGTTATAAGGTACTGCTCATGATAGACTGATAGGCTACCGATAGGTGCTGTATCACAGCATAGGAATTGATAGATAAGTAATGAAAAAGTGTAAAATTATATTTAGAGATAATTAAAACACTCTTAAAAAAGAATGTAACGAGAACAATCTTGTTATTCTCTTTCTTTGTTCTTCTGTTCATTAATAGGTTTCTCTTCAATTCATACACAAATTCAACAAGTCGAAGTCGCCATATTTAGGCCTACTCATTGACCAATCACAGCCTTACTAAAGTTACCATGGTTATCACTCAATCACAGTGTACTAAGCATTATATCGTCATCATTCCCCAGCTGTTGTATCTGAAATCTGTTGTAACATAGCGCACAGCAGACAGAAGTGTATAACGGAGCAGACGATTGTTGGCGCAAGCGTTGTTTCAATTTCATTTTCATCAAAGGAGCTATGATGTTTCTAAAGGGAGGGAGAGGGGATCGTTATATCGAGAAAGACGCTGACAATTCGTTATGGATATTCTGGCAATAAAAAATTGCTTAAATTGAGGTGACTTATAAAACTCTAATTTTATTTATATAGAAAGATAAGTTTTCCAGTCCTGTACAACACTGATTCACGGTCTTTTCCCTGTAATCAAAATTCAAGTACAACTTGATACACGCAGAATCTCCGGTTCCCGACCTGGATGATGGCTAGTTATTTAATTTAATTTACAGTTACATATTAGTACTCGTGATAAATCAAACCCGTTATGTAAGCCAAAGCCACGCGGTTATTAATCTCACTTGGTTTTGGATTTGCTTACAAACGTGATCGGAAATGGTTAGGGTTAGGACCTACACAGTATTCTTAAAGAACATTTATGTAAACATATCAGTGACAGCTAGGAAAAGGAATCTTTATCAAAACAGCTGTTCGTAATTTCATATATGACGTGTTTTCTTAACAGATTATTAGTATTTCATAAATTAATGACGTATGTAGTAAACATGGAGAAAATAAACTAGAAAAAATCACACAAAATTGTATTTTTGATCGTCCGTTATTTTATTTCCAAAATAGTGAGGCCATATTTTAATGGCTATAAGGACTCTCTCGCCAATCCTGTGGATACAATTAAACCATTAGAATCATATGCGGTACTCTAGTTTTCTTCAGAGTAGACCATGAGTAGGCTGCATAAAATGCCTTCTGGGCCGTGACAGACGGACATAAATGGAGATAAGACATGTTTCAACTTCTTCAATGTATAAAACATAAATAACCCAAAATATGTATAATTCTGAGCAATGTACAGACAAAACTATAACTTTATTGATATAGATTAACTGGGTTTGAATTTTAAATATCTAAAAAAATTTTAAAACTTCTTTTATACAAATAGTGCTGGGCGGGGGAATAATGTTTCTCATTTGTTGTGTACATCATTTATAGGGGGGGGGCTGTTGCTCAATTGGGGGGGGGGGGTGCGTCACGAGTCTAGGGGGGGATGGGCACCCCTGCATTAGGGTAGGTTAAGAGGGGTTCTACTGTATTATAATTATTTGATTAAAAGATAGGGCATTTGCCAGGAATTGTTTAGAAAATTTACAGGAAAGCAGGCTTACCATTGAATAAGTCCATAGAGACACATAAACAACACAAAAGTTGAAGTTTTTAAGTGTTCACCTTTTTCTAGTCACAAACATTTCTTCTTGAATACCTGCAGCTGTTGGCTTCTTTTTATAAAACTCCACTTTGTGTTGTGTTACGGATGGATAATTTTTATGCCTAGTATTATATCGATGATTATCCCCAGCAGTAGCACCTTGTCTTCAGAAGCCCTTGCATGCATATAGTGTGAAACATATATGAGCTGTAAACGGTTAGAATTTTTAATTTAGGAAAATAGCTTTTGGCCGATTCTTCATAATTCAGATTTAACATGATTCTTAATGCCCTTTTTTTGAAGGATTAGAATACTTTGTAAATTTTGATTACTTGTAGCTTCATAACTCAATACCAAATGTAATTATGTGAGTTGATATGTGTGTGGTAAAACTTAAGCAATATCTCAAGCGAACAAAATTTTGACAGATTTCTCAAGGCAAATAAACCAGAGGAAATTTATGGAGTGACAATGATGCATTTTCATCAAGCAATGAATCCAAAAATGTTGTTACCTTTGCTTGAGTAATTTGGAGATCAATCATCATCAGTAATTTCTTAGATCTCAGTAGAGCCTTTGACAGTGTGTCACACAATAAGTTAATAAAAGTATGAACTTGGAGTCTGTGGTAAAGAACTCAAATGGTTTGAATCCTATATTCAAAATAGGTACCAGTTTGTTGAAGTGGATGACATCATAGAGCATAATAATATAAATTACATTGAAAAAGCTCAATCTCAGCACCGGACACTGATATGGAGTGCCCCAGGGATCGATCCTGGGCCCTCTACTATT